AACCACCAGTGTACCGCAGAGATCAGGCAGTCTCTGGGCACCAGCTCCTGCAGCCGTCTGGGGCCGCGCACAGCCCTGCCTCTCCCTCACACCCCTGCAGCAACTGCTCCGCGCAGGCAGAGCTGGGGGAGCAGCACGCAGCCATGGGACTCAGCCCTCTCTCGGGCTGTGAAAGCCCTTCATCCGCTTAAAGGTTTTATGAGCATCCCAATATCCTGTCCTGGGAAGCAACTGCACGGGAAACTTGCCCCAGGCACCTCTCTCCTGTGCAGATCCCTCCAGGCACCAAGTTCCCAGCTCCAGCTGGGAGCACAGCAGCAGGGCATGGTGCATTGCCTTCCTACAAGTAATTGCTCCCGATAAAGCTGCTGGCTGTACTCGAACGTACTGGGGGGATTAAGGAGGCGGAGGGAGCTTTCTCTTTGAAATCTCTCTGCACTGGCAGGGGCAACCTGTCTGCATTCTCCCTAAGTACCTCGGGAGTCTCGTTAGGGCTGACGGTCTGGGACCGGGGACCGGGGCTGAGCCACAGCCCAGGAAGTCAGCAAGCAGCTTCGCTCTTCCCTCATTGCGGGAAAAGGGATTAACAGCACCTTGCTGAGGCAAGGGCCACGCTGCACCGCACTGGCAAGCTCGCAGGAGGCAAAGGTGCCGTGGGGGCACCCTGGCACTGGCACAGGGTGCCGCTGAGCAGCTCCTCGCTATGCTGGTCTTTTATGTCACACATCTAGGCAGAAAGAGCCGCAAGTCTGAGAACAAGTGTAGGGAGAACAACAGGATTCTCTGGAGCTCCCTGCAGGTGCTCCCCTATTTTTGCTGAATGGCAGAAAACTGCATATCAGATACAACTGAAAAATGCAAATCAGATGGTGCATTTAACACTGAGAGTAGGAAACCCTCTGAGAGCCTGGGACAAATTCCAGAGCTGCTGGCATGCTTTTCCCTCCCATTTAACTGTTATTTCCCCACTGGAACCCTTTTAAAAAAATCTTATCTCAAGGAGCCATAAAAGCATTGTAAAAGCACCAGGCTTTTGAATCCTGCATGTAAAAATAAAATAAAAATGCTGTCCTACTCTGGCTGACCTTTAAATGAGCAGCAGAACATGTTTTTTATGGCGTAACCTGAAATGACACATTTTGTCTGTCTCAGGGAGGTGTGGGCACTGCTCTGCCTGTTCAGTGTAAAATATTGCTCTGTTTCCTGGTGCAAAGTTGTAAAATGAAGAGAAGTTTAACGCGTTATAACTGCCAGGCAATGCCAAAAGCCTCCACTCCACAACGCCTTCCTCCTGGGCAGCGAAATGCAGTTAAACTGGTCTAGAGCATCCTCTGAAAGGCTGCGCAGCATCCTAGGAAACCAGATGGAAACCTGGAAGGCGGCAGGTGAGTTCAGTGCCCAGAACAAGACAGGAACCCGGAGCTTTTTCAGCTGCTCAGGTGAGCTCTGCCTCGGAGACAGCATAGCCTCATGGATCTTGCAGTTTTGCCACAGATCCTGCAGAAGCCACTTCTCATCTTTGTGCCTCCTTCCTCACCTCTGACTTTGCTCATACGCTACTGTCTTTAGGGAAAGCCTTTCTCCCCCGCGCAGCGGCGATGTGAGCTATCTGTACACCGTGCCCAGCAACAACTGTACTACTAATACTCACTAAATAATTAAAGTCATAAAATCACTACTGCCTTAGACACATGTATTATTTAAATGGTTTTGGAGAGAAGTAGACCTGTTTTTATTGCTCATTATCAGTGCATGTCAGCAGGGTTTTTTTTACTGCATTGTCACATCAAAACTTCAGATCACATCATGCTCCCCTTCGCCATATATGCAAGCTCCTTTGTGAACGGCTCATCCAAATCCCACCACTTCAAACTTGCAAGCAGAAAAACATGCATGGGCAGTGTGGAGAATAGCTTGAACTGCTCTGCCAACGTGTGTCAGAGAGAAACCTATATGGAAACACTACAGCTAGAGGATATAGCTACGATCAAGCAACCTGAAGTACACAGGACTGGTGCTTCCCACACCCCCACCACAGCTTCTGCCTGATCTAGAGAAGATGGTTTAAAAAAAAAAATTCTGTCTTGATTTAAAGGCTGCACATCACCTCTCTAAACAAAGAGGGGAATTTGCAGAAGCATCTCACAAATAAAAGCAATCTAGCTACTGTCCTCACTCCAAACAATGACACACTGGCCAGTAAATCTCTCTTTGAGATAACCAGAAATCAGTGTTCTTCATTCATTCAGAGAATCTCATTTCCCAATGGCAAATCCTAGCTGCTGAAATGTCTTTACTTCTGCTTTGTTCACATTCATCCCTCAAAACAAAGGCAAAGGTGACACTCTGATAATCAGCATTAAAGGGGTTTATCTGAAGATGCTGGACCATCTTTGTAGGAGCTACATCCAGACAAGCAAGCCTTGCTCATCAGGTAAAGCTCACCAAGTTACATGGGGGATTAAATTGCCGGTGAATCATTCTTCACTGAGGAGTTTCCTATTCCATTTCCAAATGACTTAATCTCAGCACTTGATTCATGTGGCTATTTAAATCCAACCACATAAACCAAGAAGCACTGCTCTGCTTTGACACATTAGCATTCTCCACGTGTTGGCTGAACATAAGTGATTAGCTCTTATTTCCAAAGCCAGATGTTTAAAATGCATTGTTTTCCTGGAAGGCTAACAAAGAGGATCTGCACGCATTCTTTCTTTTTAAGAAATTCATGAATTTGGGGGATCTGAAATCTTGTGGCCATATAGTCACAATTAAATGCTATGCTTCATTTTTAAGTGCCACACCTGGTTTTAACTGTGAATAAATGCAATGGTATAAATGGTCAAAAGCACTGGCTGTCCATATCCTTTTATGCATGTAATTCATCAGCATCTCTAACTGAGATTCAGTCAGGCATTAAGGGTACAGCCATCCTGTTTCACACCTCCAGTTCATTTCCACCTGCAGAAATATGACTGCAGGTTTTCTAGGGGAAAAAAACGCCATCACAAGTGAGAATGTGACCTTATGAATCATGTTTCAAACATAACCTTTACTAAAAACTGTCCTAAGCGCCGCAGAAGCACAGGCAGACAACAGGAAAACAAAGCCCATGAACCTCAGCAAGCAGACTAAAAATTCCTGTTTTGAGCAAATGGAGATTCAGCCCAAGAAAATAAGAAGTGGACAGTGCAAGTGTGCAAATTTCTTACACTATCAGGATGCGCAGAAAGAAAGCTTGTTAATACAGACACAGAGTGGGGTCAAACCTTGAAGTATTTGCTCCTACTATGGCCTCTTTGCTGTGGGTTAGAATTCACTTGAATAAGAAGCACAAGATTTGGTCCATTGTGCATTACTCTGTGCGAGTGAACCACCCCTCCTCTCTCCCTGTGAACACATGAATACATAAGCATGCCTTTTCATATTCGGAGTGAGACTTATACATAATTCACACCGCATAAATACATTTGGGCATTTGCACTTTTAAACCTAGATGAGGCTCTGCTTTATTAATTCCAGGTCTGACTCTTCCCAGAAGGAGCAGAGCACCTGGCCCTCCAAATTCTCCAGTCAAGGAGAGCTGGACCAAAGCAACAGTTTGTATGAGCATCCCCCAGCCGTGCTCCACCAGATGATCAGTAGATGGGCAGTGATACCGGACCGAATGTGAAACCTCCCCGGCACTGTCTAACTGAGCAGACACACCTGCAAACACTGCAAATCTCCGATCTATCCCAGTGAGCTCCCATTGGAATAACGGTTCGTCTGACACAAATATTCTTATAGCCAGGGCAGCATTTTCAGGAAAGGCTTCACTCCAAGCAATCCCATGCAAGATCGCATCCAAATCACTCAGGTAGTCTGCCAACATCCTGGGAAATCCTGAGCTCGTGCCAAAAATAATTCCAGAGATGACTGAGGAGTTTTATCTTTTCATGCACCTGCTACAGGTTAGAAAGAAGGTAAAGCAGGTAACTGCTGACTAGCTGGTTGACAGAGTCACTCTGGAAGATATGTTTTGGTTTTAAGCAATGAGGATAGGGATTATAGGATTAGAACTGCTTTAACTGTCAGGGAAAAATGACAGAAATAGGACAGGGGTTAGGTGACGGGTCAGGCAATAGCAAGAACATTTTCAAATTAACTCTTAAATACCCTCTTTTCCAAACACAGACTACGCTGGGGCATCCTGATGGCAATCCCTGAGGAACGTTAAAGTTCTGGCACTCTTTCAGCGGTAAAGCCTGGTCCGAGGCCTACGTAACTCCACATCCTTTTTCTCTTTCAGCTCAGACCGTGGCTGCTCTGCTCAGCTCGAAGCTGAGTGCAATCGGAGCCGTACCCTGAGAGCTGGCCAGCACGTGAAGCCCAGCTGCACTGGCAGCGCACAAGGGGAGAGCCCTCACTTTTTGGGGCACTTGCGGTCCATGGGTTAAATTGCTGCAGTCCTAGGCTTACTCCAAAGAGGCAGGAGCAGGAAGCAGGAAAATGAGAACGAACTGAGCCGGCCCTCAGATATTCGTAGGGATCTGATGGGTGAGGTGCTTTGTCCCTCACCCTTCAACAGGCGGATTGGTGCTGGGGTTCCCTGGCTGCTGCCCTCTGCCCAGATGGGGCGATCCCCCCTGTCCCCACGTGCAAGGAGGGCAGCCTCTAGGCTTCGACATGTGCCCGAGTACTGACACACATCGCTACGCTCTCATGCAAAGGCTGCTGTGAACCTCGAGGTCAGGCTGCATGAAACACTTAGTCTCACAAATAAGGACCCTGAGACAAGGGCAGCATGTGCCCCAGGCGGGACCAGCTCAAAGCACTCACTTTGCTACGCCATACCACCAACATGGGAATAACGTCGCCTCCCGTTCGCCAGCATGACCCTTCTCAAACCACAAACGCAAAGCTATGGCCTCAGGCCGTGCCCGCAAGCCACCCTCCCAGCGCCTGGCCCCAGTGCCCAGCTCCCATATTAAATATATACCAGTCCTCACTTCCCCTACCTGAATGGCTTCTGTGGTGTGCGGAGGCCAGCGTCAGTCTTCCCCATAGCGTGGTAAGGCAGAGAGTGAGCACGAAAACCCATTTGCTCAAGCTCTGTATGTCTCTCTCACTCATTCTACCAAAACAAAAAGAGAAAGAGAGATGCACAGAGGAAGGGGGCTGAGAAGCGGGTTGCGAGGGGCAGTGCACACGTATGCTGCCGCTGCCGAATGCAGCATTTCAGCTCCCGGACGCACACCACGACGGGGGCCGATGGGCCCAGGGCCACAACCACGGCCCAGGGCCGGTACAGGCGCACACACAGCATGCACACGTGCGCCTGGGGGTTCATCCGCCACGCAGATTTCTGAAGCAGTGCGGCCCGTTAAGGCAGGTCAGAAGTCACATCTCACCAATAGCAGCAAAGAGAGAGATATTTACCTCTTACTGGGGTTTCGCAGCTAACACCTGTGCATCTGCCAACCTCCGACGGATTATGTTTTTACACAGAAGGGCAAACATCAGCGCACCTGAAAGGAGAGAGAGAGAGAAATAGCGCTTGGATAACGATACCTGCTGGAAGGGCTGCACCTGAGAGGTCAGAAACACTGAGTTCCCGGGGACCAGCTGGGAACGAGCCAGAGCCTCAGCTGGCCCCTGCACCAGGGACAGCATTTCCACGCTCCGGGCTCGGCATGCCGACCGAGCCACCAGGATACCTGAGGAAGGTACAGAGGTGCGCAGGAGCAGATCAGACAGCAAAGCGCGTATCTGCACGCATGCATTAACGTACATGCTCACAAGCACATGAGCACACACCTTGCACAAAAATCTCTCCAATAATTCAATCCATAAATATGCTTGCCCCTTTTTTACACCAGTGTGACTCCACCTGCTTTGGAGGAGTTACTCCTGACCTTTACTGCTGAGAGAACAGAAGCAGGACCATTAAATCAGGTATTAAGTGCAGATCAGAAATAGTAGCTATGGACCAAGAGCATCTGAGAAGAGCAAGAGTATATGAACAGTGAATCGTTTTCACCTTCTCCACGTAGGGGTTACGTACTCTCTTTGCCTCCAATGTTAGAGAGGTCCCTTGAAGTGAGCTAAAATTGGCTCTCGCAGGCTGGGCACTTTGCACACCACACACTGACACACAGACCACACCAGCAGCTATCCCCAGGGGACACCGGCTCGGACAGGCAAGCACCGCTAGCACCATTTACACACAGAGAGCTGAGCAACAGACTAGCCACTTGTCCAGGTCGACGCACACAGCCCACATCAGGGTGGGAAACTGAATTCAGCTGTCCCAGAGCAATACCTCGCTCTAGTGCTGTCTTTCCTTTCAGCACATTTGCGAAATCTGCAAAACCACACAGACACAAAATTGTGTCCACTATCTTTGCATACACGTGTTCCCCCAATAACGAGATTTGGCATTTAGCTCTCACCTGCTTATCTTCCTGATTAAACAGAGCTATGGGAAATACAGCCTGCCAGAAGCAATGCTGCTCTCCCAGGGACGCTCCCCAGGGCCAGCTGCTCTGGAAGCGCAGCCACGTCCTGGCAAGCGGGTGCTTGCGGAAGAGCCCAGGCCGGCAGAGAGAGGAGACTGCGCCTAGACCCAGCAGAATAGTTGCTATTTATATTACTACAACCTGCCCTATTCTGTCTGGCAGCTGGAGGCTTCCAGCCAGACTCAAGTAGCAGCTGAAACTCTGAGTTTACAAATTGCTGTCAAGTGTCATTAATGAGAAGTGAATTGTTGCAACCAAATTGTATTTAAAATAATGCACTAATTCAGAACGCTACTCATGCTAACAACAGCACGGGGGCTGGATCACAGCACCGTTATCATTCCACATGCCAGGAATGATGTACTTGCCAGCAAAGGAGAGGCAGCAGTCGTGGCACCGAGATGAATGACTGAAACACGCTCCCCAACAAAGATGCCCCTTTCCCAACCACCGTGCATAGAGTGTGGGGCCCCAGACAGCCACAGAACTGGCCTTACCAATGCACCGATTCACCTCCTAACTCCCTTTTAGGAGCTGCCTCCTAAACCTTCTGTGATCAGCGCCTGGAAATGGGTATGCTCCAGACAGGGAGCCTGGCAGGGACTCGAACATCACTCCCCTACATCCCAGGGCTGTGCCCGGATCACAGCAACACCTTCTTCTTTTGACTGAATGGAAGTTAGCATTGAGCGTTTGGATTAGTTTACATCTGTGCAAGAATAAAAACACAGCAGTCACAATATCACCTCCCTCCAGATCTTGCTTTGCTCTTGGCTGAACAACCTGCTCCGCTAGCCAAGAGCCCATAATAACCAGCCTGTCTGCGCCTCTCCTATCTGCGCATCCAAGTACCCTGCAGAGCAAAAAACCCACCTTCCTCATGCATGCAGAAGCTGAGATAAAAGGAAACAAGGGGAACAGCTTCAGTAGCAATGCTACGGACAGAGGAGCTCAGAGCTGGAGGGACTTAATCCTTTGAAATTTTGACCCAAAGCCCCACAGCAAAGCCAAGGTCAGGACTCAGGCTGCCCAGTGCCTGGGCTGGGCACATGCTCATCAGGCTACGTAGCACCTTGACCTCCCACCCGTGCTCACCCACCTCCACATCTCTCCGCACAAAGCTGAAGTGTGCAAACACTGCCCATCCCAGCACAGAGGTGGCATCTCCCCTCCCACGCCACGCTGTGCCCCCGCACACAGAGTGGCATGGGAGGTGCTCAGAAGGAGCTGAGTTTTACCTCATCTGAAGTCCTCAAGGGAAAATTTAAACCTCGAAAGATTCAGTGTTTTACTTTCCACTGCTTTAAACACTTTCCTTGTAATATTTACCACCCGCGGCGCTGCAGGTGGAGATGGCTCTGGGGCTCTGCAAGAAGCAATACTAGAGATAACAGCTTTGACAGCAAAATCTCCGCTCTGCATCTGCAAGGTAAAATGACAACTTCACGGCCTTGTTTATCACCCGCAGGGATCTAGCAGGGTCCAGGCCAAATAACTGCGTCCCCTGTAAAACTTCAGTGCCAGATCATAACTTCTTAATGAGGGTCCATAAACACAAGCCGTAGGCTGCGGCACTGCTCGGGCAGCAGGAGAGCCCCTGCTACGCTGGGGAGGTCAAAGCCACGCTGCGTGGCACGGCACGGCCTCAGAGGATCCTGCACGGGGGCCACGGCTCTACCTGGTCGTGGCACCCGCCGCCCCTTTCTCGGAGCAGCAGCACCTACTTCCCTGTGCCCGGCGGGGAGCTCTGCTGCAGCAGGTGCTCTTGCTGCCTTGTCCCACCAGGCACCTTGCAGCATCCCAGAGGTTAACACAAGCAGCAGCAGCAGCAGCGCAAGGCATCAGCCAGGCAACGGGAGACAGCTGGGGCCGGTTGAAGAAGAAATCTTTAATTTTCACCAACCTTCCAAATTACGTTCTGTTGTGCATCAAACAGAGACACTGAAACACACTCACATAATGAAGTGCCAGAACAGAAAATGCTGACATTTTTAATCAAAACAAAGTGATTTGAGGTGGCAAAAGGGCATTTCTTGTTTTGAAGCGTTTCAAAATGGATTGTTCTGTTTTAAACTGACATTTCAAAATGAAAAATGTTTCATTCCAAAATGCCTATTTAAAATGATATTTTCCATTTTGATTCTCCCAACTGGAAGAAAAATCAGAAAACGTCACCAAAAATGTTGACATTCACCCAGAAAAATGACAAAAACACATTTTTATGTAAGAAAAGAATCTATAGGCAAAAAAAATTCCTAATTCATGCTGTGGGATGGCCAGCCTAGTCAGGAACACACTGCGAAGCACTGCCCAGGGAAGGGCTCGAACACGCCAGCATCCAGGTCTCGCTCCTGCCTCTGCTACGGTCCTGCTGGGTGACAACACGAGCCCCGTCCCCGCTGCCTGCCTCGCCATCTGCTCCATCTGCATTTCGTGGGCACGCTGCCGGGCGCAGGGCTTGCTGTCACCGCTGCGCCTACAGACCCCGTCAAAGAGGAGCCGGTCTCGGGGATGTCAGGAGATGCCGTAGTGCAAACAACTGGTAGCAAGGTCCCACTGGAGAGGCAAACCAAAATAAGCCCTTTCCTGCCCCGAAGCGCAGGTACCGGGAAGCCTCCCACTCCTGCTGCTTCTGAGGGTCCCAGCACAGCTCCTCTTCTCTGTGGCCTGGCTGTAACTCTCCCTTTGGCACACAGCAGCTCAGATCAAACATACTCCACAAAACAAATGATTCAAACACAACTAAATGTCGGTCCTCAGTAACGCCAGGCTGTGACTGCTGTGCACACTCAAACCACTCCCTGCAGATGCTGCTTTCTCCCTCTGTGATTATTTCATTACGGTGCTCTGCATATTCCCTGAGCAAATATTTATGAATGAGGCTGAGGCTGCTACAGGAAAGGGAAAAACAGAAGACACCCGGGCTTCGCGCGCACACTCCCCTTGCTCCACTGTGAATAATTCACGCCGTGCAATGAAATGCCTGCGGAGGGACAGTGCGGGAGCAGGCTGTGGTGTGCAGAGCACTTGCCCCTGCCTTGGATGCACCATGCCAGGCCGCTCAGGTCAAACCCTTCCCAGCTCTGATGGCCAGGAGCGACCACACTCCACCCAGCCAGCCTCCAAGCCCTCCTCTGGCAGAGTCACAGTTCCCAGAGAGGAGGACCGGCCCAGTCTCGGAGAGCAGGGCGCAGCACGGCACACTCAGCATCAGGTTTTCCATCAACTGGCATTCTCGTGCTCTTGCTTGGCCAGGAGGCTTTGGGCACGGTGCGGAAGTGAGGCGATGAGGCAGTGCAGGCGCTCACCAGGTGGGACAGCTCCACAAAGCACAGGGGTACGGATCCAGGGTGGGAAGAGAAAGATAGGGATAGCCACAGGACCAGTCCTCCTCCAGGTACACCACCACACTCAACCTGCATCTTCTCTCACCTGCCTCTGAAGAGCAAGATCCCAGCAACTGCACTAAACGGGATCACCCTGCCTGCACCTGTGGCAGCTCCTAATGACTCCCTCCAGGCTGCCTGGTGGTGATTTCCCAACCTGAATAACGAGTAATCTACAAATGAATATTTAGGAGAGGGGCATTTTGGACCATTCTGGCAGAGGCAAGGGATGGAGTTGACGTTTCTGCTTTGCCTCCACCTAACTCCCGCCCGGACTCCCTGCCTGCTCCGCGCCTGGCTGCTCGCTGCGCAGTGGCTGGAGGGATGGAGGCTGGCTGGTGCCCTGCAGCGAGAAGCATCCCTCGCCTTCTGGGCCGGTCCCCACTGTCCCCGCTTCCCCTTATCTCAGCACTCATTATTCACAGCTTGCGGCTCACCATCCGTGCTCACACAGAGAGAGGTGCTGAATGCTAATGAGCAGCACCACGCCAGGGCCACGGTGCATCGGTGTGTCACTGCTAGATATGCAGCTGCTAATAAGCAAGCGACAGACTGAAAGCAGCAAGTAGGGCAGCCTGGCCGGTCCAGAGCGGGGAATGCAGGAGAGGGCAGCAGGGAAGCTGCCCAGCCCTTGCAGCACCCTCAGACCACAGTCAACGCCTGACACTGCCAGCCAGCCGTGGGAAGCACGTGCTGCATTTGGCCCTGCGGCCAAAGGTGCAATCAGGTGGCAGCGAGTGGCAAATTTGGGAGACGAGGGGAGGGGGAAGCTGCAGAACAGCGGTGCCCATGCAACTCTTTCACAAGCGGGCACAGCACAGCCCTGAACCAAGCACTGTCCCATGCTCCCGCTCATCGCCTCGCTAGCAGGGGCCACTGCGTCCCCCTGCCCCCAAGGCAGTCCCTGTCCCTCTGTGCTCTCAGGGAGGTCAGGCAGACGGATCCCCCAGCAGGATCTCTGGGGACACCTGTCCCCCGCGATCTCAGCACTTCTGCTCCCACGCTGCACGCGTGGAGCTCTGCTGCTACTGCTCTGCGCCCACACAGCTCTACTAACACATGGGCCACTGGAGCAACAAAGCACGGTGCCAAGAGCCTGCCCTGAGCCACTGCAGTGCCAGAATGAATTAAACTGGTTTAATTTGCAAGAAAACAATCTCTGCTTGAAGTGGGCATGAGCTGATGTGACAAGACTGTGCTTACTCCCCTGTGTAAAGATGCATTTAGGCAATCTCCGGAGCGCTGGTGGGGCTGTCAGCAGAATCTGCTCTGCAAGAGGTTTCCTCAAAGAATGGATTTTCACACAGTGGCCTGCTTTGTAATAGTCCCTTCAGAGATGTCACAGTCTATCATGCAAATATTGGCACCAGCTTAAAATGTGTTCTACTTCCTCAATAAAAAATTAAGCAGCCCTCTCAGAGCAGCCCAGCCCTTTGTGTAAATCCACAGAGGCCCCCGGGCAGTGCACGCATCAGCCCTCAGCACCGCAGCGAGCCAGGAACGGAGGCTCCAGTGCAGGCCAGAAGGGAGGGTGAGATGCCTCCTGCACACACACACTGCGGCGGATCTCCTCTCCTGCTCCCGCAGCTCGGCCCCACGTGCCGGCAGCGCCTGTCCCCGCAGGGCATCTCCACTGCGCCTCCCCCTCGGAGGCTGAGCGCGGAGACGGCACCGTAGCAGGGACCAGATCAGCAGAGCCAACACAGGGAGGCTTTGCCTGCTGGCGTGAGACCTGCTTCTAAATGTTTTTTTTGGCCCAAGTCTCTCTTGGCTAAGCCAAAAAGCCAGTGCCCCTCTCACCTCCTCCATACCACGCAGGATACGCTTCCAGTGTGCACTATATTTAGCTCAGAAGGGCTGAGCTGTTTGCTATGGCTAAGAAAGCATAAATAAATCACAGAGGTATCAATAATGCAGCCTACACTGTCCACGCCGTACTTAAAAGGGAAGCTATTGTACTGTACTGCAGAAGGAGAGCGGGCGACTGCATAACTTCCAGAGAGCTTATGTGGGCGTTTAAAGAAGCATGAGGTATAAAAAGCCACAATCCACTTCAGCAGGCAGCAGACTTAGCCCTGTGGCATCAGCCACCCAGAGCCAACGCTCCTCCTCAGACCCACCCCGGTACAGGTAATCGGGGCTCTCACTCGCACACAAATTCCCGCTAGAAAACACAGCTGCACAGAAATTGGTATTTTGACAGTTCTTAACACCTATCATCATGAGACTCAAACTAAAAATGTTTGGTCTGACTTGAAATTTTTCAGTCTGGAATGTCATTTTGAAATGAAGCGTGGTGTTCTGGCATGTCAAAGCACCTAATTTTAACTGAAAACATTGGTACTTTGCATTCTTTTACATTCTGTTTTGAATTTTGTGGAATCTTTCATTAACGGTTTTGTTAGTGGCTATTCTGCCTTTCTGTTCCAAGCTGGGATACGAAGTAACTGCAAAAGCACCTGAATGTCTCTGAAGGCAAATCTCCATCTGTAACCAGGGTGGCAGAGACGAGCATTGCTCTGACGGTGCCCATGCCTCTCCCTGTGCACACATGCACAGACACAGTGCACTCTCATTGCTCCGGGAGCGCAGGAGAGGCAGGGCAAACCACAAGACAAGCATCCCTGCCACAAAACAACCCAAAAAAGCGCTAGCTCCAAGTAGGCTGCCTGCCAGGGCCTCAGGCCCCGTCTCACCACCGCAGAGAACGCTTCCAGGAGCAAGGCGCCCTGCTCCTTGGGCAACTACTATGTGGACTGCTACTTGGGCAACTAGCTACTAATATGGTGAAAAATGCCTGGACAATCCACAGAGGATCAGGCCCTCCTTGTGCAAGGAATATCCAACACAGAGTGTCTTTACTGCGAGGACATGCAGCCAGAGCAGACCGAGACGGGGAGCAGGGGCCAACCTGCCCTTGGCAGAACGAGCAAGGCGGCACACGGACACCTCCTCTCCGCATCAGCGCAGAGCCTCAGCTCTCCCGAGTGTCACATTGCTCTCACACCTCAACCTTCATACAGCAATTTTAATTTTTGAACGCACTTTTTAAATACAGCAGAGAGCTACGTATGACGAAGTGCTAGCAGAGTTAGCAGAGGTTAATCATGAACAGCCACGAGGCTGATCTCAGCACTAAAGCGTAGCTATCATTTTCCAAAATCATAGGATCGGGTATCTAGAGGCTTTTTCTCCCTCTCTGTTAAAGCCACATGTAAAATTGTGAACCTCCAGCCAGGACCGCTCCATCTGTAACTCCATTTGGAAGGCAGCCTGATGCCCCACAGTGTTAATGAGGGACTTTCTGTCATGCCAAATTATGCTCAGAGTTTTGGAAGTCTGGAGCATTATTTGCAAAGGTCTGTATGAGCTGGATAATTATACTTAGCAAATCTCCCCCCCCCTAAAAAACAGAAAGGAGTGGGGGAGGCTGGCACATTCACAGGCTTTCAATGCTAAATAACACATGCATTCTCCAGTCCAGCTCCAACGCTATCAACCTTTATGCACATGTGTCCCAGTAGTTTTGCTGGCTCTCTAAAAGCCATTTTAATACTCCTGCTATTTCAGCACATCTCAGAGCTTCAGCATTTTTGCTTAGCGTAAAAAAAGCTGCACCCATTGGCTCGACAGAGCACAGTCCAGGGGGTCACCACTACCAGGCGGCCCAGTCACAGAGGGGCAAAGCAGTCGTATACAAAGCCCAGAAGGAACAGAAATATTTCCACAATTGCTGTAGGAGATGCTGCAGTGCACCTAGAGATGCTAGGTGGCAATTTTGTTCGACTGCTCCCCTGAAAAGTCAGACCACTGCAGCAATGCCCTGGTACGTGGGAACACAAGACAACCGCAGACTTCAGGGAACTGATTAGCCCATAGCCATTTTCCAAACAGGACAAAGCGCAAGGATACGTAGGCCCCATCAGTGAAATTATACGGGGCGGCAGACACTGCATCGTCTGCCATGCTGCACGGTTCCCTGGCAAACCTCGTGACAGCGGTGGCCGAGTCAAACCTCCCTTGTAGGAGAGGGAGGGCTGGACCCCCAGACCACCACCCTTCCTGCTCCGTGCTCTCAGACAACACTCCTGGGAGGGAAGCTGTCCTCTCCCCTGCCCCGAAGCAAAGCTCAGGCAATTGCAGCAGCGCTGAAAGGCTTCAGTCTCCAGAGAAGCTGATACCTCCTCGAAAGCCTTGAGCGATCATGAAAACAAGCAACGAGACACCTCCATAGTCCCCTGGGGACGACGCAGCACAGGCTCCACTCTGCTACTACTCTGCTCCAGCAGCCAAGGGGAGGGCAAAGGCAGCAGGGCAGGCTTGGCAGGGAGGGCATCGCCCTCCTCACCTGAGGCTGGAAAATCACCTGAGCACTGGATCCTCTGCCGCAGACAGGCAAGGAAATGCTCAGACCTGCATGGGCTGTGAGGTTTGGGCCCAGGACCTCCGAGATACTCTGCTGCTGCCCATCCTGAGAGAAAGCTGCAGGCTCCGAACGCGGCTGGGAGGTCCCTGGAGAGGCTGGTCAGCAAGACGTTCCCATCTTCCAAACGCAGACCGACGACGACAGCAGCAACCTCCAGTGCCAACAGCTTAGGGTTTATCAGTGCAAGCCACCAGACCGGCTAACTCCTAGCTCCTTCCGCAGTGCTGATGATCCTTAATTATGGGCAAAGCTGAGGAGTTAGAGCTACAGCGGGCCTCAGCAGCCCCGGGGGTGAGGCGTCCCAGGAGGGCTGGCCCGCTCAGTCGGAGCTACGCAGACTGACGGGCGTTTGGCACGGTAGCTCCTGCCCCCCGTCGCACTCTGCGCTCGTGGCGTCCCTCCAGCGCTGCCCGACGGCGTCCCCCAGCCCAGCGCAGGGTGGCCCGGCCAGCAGCAAGCGCTCCTCTCTGGAGGAAACGCCACAGCAGGCGACCGCACGGCCATCTCTCGGCAAGCCTGGCCCGAGCCCCTGCAGCGCAAGGCTGAGCTGAGCCCTTCCGTACGCATCATGTAGCCTCCGCTACTCTTACTCCGGGACCACTTAC